AGGTTCTGGAGAAAGCAGTTGCTAAACAGCTGTGTGACTTTCTACAGAGCAATAGTTTATTTGAGGATTTTCAGTCAGGATTTAGAACTCATCATAGCACAGAGACAGCACTGGTGAAAATTACTAACGACCTCCTTATTGCATCAGACAAAGGACTTGTCTCTGTACTGGTTTTATTAGATCTTAGTGCTGCATTCAATGCCATTGACCATCAGATCATATTGCAGAGACTGGACCACTTCATTGGCATTAAAGGAACCGCTCTAAGCTGGTTTAAGTCCTATTAATCAGAACGATTTCAGTTTGTACATGTTAACGATGAGTCCTCTCTAAGCTGGTTTAAGTCCTATTTATCAGATCGATTTCAGTTTGTACATGTTAACGATGAGTCCTCCATGCATGCCAAAGTTAGTCATGGAGTTCCACAAAGATCTGTCCTTGGACCAATCCTGTTCACTTTATATATGCTTCCTTTAGGCAATATTATCAGGAAACACTCCATAAACTTTCATTGTTATGCAGATGATACTCAGTTATATCTATCGACCAAGCCAGATGAAACTCATCAGTTAGCTAAACTTCAAATGTGCCTTCAGGATGTTAAAACCTGGATGAGCTGTAATTTTCTAATGTTAAACTCAGATAAAACTGAAATTATTGTTCTGGGGCCCAAGCACCTCCGTGACACATTATCTAAAGATATAATTTCCCTTGATGGCATAGCCCTGGCCTCCAGCACCACCGTGAGGAATCTTGGAGTTATCTTTGATCAGGACATGTCGTTTAAGTCTCACATTAAGCAAATTTCATGGACCGCCTTTTTTCACTTACGTAATATTGCGAAAATCAGGAACACCCTGTCTAAAAATGATGCAGAAAAACTAGTCCATGCATTTGTTACTTCTAGGCTGGATTAGTGCAATTCCCTATTATCAGGCTGCTCGAAAAAGTCCAGTAAGACTCTTCAGCTGATCCAGAATGCTGCAGCATGTGTTCTGACAGGAACCAGGAAAAGAGATCATATTTCTCCTGTCTTAGCTTCTCTGCATTGGCTTCCAGTAAAATCCAGAATAGAATTTAAAATCATTCTTCTTACCTACAAAGCTCTTAATGATCAGGCACCATCTTATCTTAAAGAGCTCATAGTACCTTACTACCCCACCAGAGCACTGCACTCCCAGAATGCAGGGTTACTTGTGGTTCCTAGAGTCTCCAAAAGTAGAATGGGAGCCAGAGCGTTCAGCTATCAAGCTCCTCTCCTGTGGAACCAGGTTCCAGTTTGGGTTCAGGAGGCAGACACCATCTCCACATTTAAGAGTAGGCTTAAGACTTTTCTCTTTGATAAAGCTTATAGTTAGGGCTGGCTCAGGTGAGTCCTGAACCATCCCTTAGTTATGCTGCTATAGGCTTAGACTGCCAGGGGATTTCCCATGATGCACTGAGCTCCTCTCTCCTCTACTTTCTCCCCCTCTGTATGCAACCTCATCCCATTATTGCATGTTACTAACTCAACTTCTCCCCTTTTCGGTAGTCTTCTTTGTCTGATGCAATAAGGAGGTCGTTAGTAATTTTCACTACGGCTGTCTCTGTGCTATGATGAGCTCTAAATCCTGACTGAAAATCCTCAAATAGACTATTGCTCAGTAGAAAGTCACACAGCTGTTTGGCAACTGCGTTCTCTACTTTTGGAGACTCTAGGAACCACAAGTAACCCAGCATTCTGGGAGCGCAGTGCTCTGGTGGGGTAGTAAGGTACTATGAGCTCTTTAAGATAAGATGGTCCATGCACTTTGACGTGTGTGCAAAGTTTCGTGAGTTTTTGAGCATGTTAAGGCCCCCAAAACTGAGATTACAGAAAAAATTAATAAATGAAGCCATAAGCTGCAATTCGAGGTTCAAACCTTTTCTCGCATTAGTGACTTCAAAATAAAATCAAATAACGTCTAGGAGATGTCAAAAATGTGTGTTTTCTAGGCGGACCTTAATGGTCCTTGAGGCTTTTTGAAGACCACATTGAGCTGGATCTGTGTGAGAAATTTCAAATAAATCGGACTTACAGTGTGTGGGGCGTGGTCTTTCAAAGTTTTCATTTTTAAGCCTTAATTACCGACCCACCATGTGGCCGATTGGGTTCATATTTCTATGTAAGCACATGCACATCATTTCCAATTATTCCCCTAAGTTTCATGTTTCTAACTCATTCTAGCTCACACGAATTTGAGCCAGCGCAGCTGACAACAAATAATAACTAGAATGGGCATTTCCCAAAATAAATTCGTGTGAGAGCTGTCAGCTGTTAGCTGTGACTGCTATTGCTGCTGCTGCAAGTACTGCTCCATCAGCATTTTTTCAAAAATCATGTAACGCTACCTACAAGAATCATATGGCACAGACTAATTCAGTTAACCACACGGCACCTGGCACCTATTTCCAGGACAAATGCCTAAAATAACACCCAAAATAAATCAGTAATATCTTCTCAACCATTAGGCCTAGATGCATAATTCTGGTCTCTTTTAAAAGGTCAGAAACTAAGGAATATAAATCCATTGAACATTAACATATTTATTTCACAATTACAGACTACATGGAGATGCAATACAGAAGAAATTTATTTTCATCCTCGCCTGGTAAAAAAAAGCTATATTTTAATGCAATAAACCATCAAAACCATCATAAGATTGATTATAATGCACCTGAATATCTTCTAATACACCTGGAATACAACTGTAAATGTAAATTTGACAAAAAGAAACTGATATACAACAGTTATTACACAATCTTTCAAAAATATACCAGGCGAATGTCCATGTTTTTTGGCCTTTACTTTTATTTGGAGTAATCTTCAAAACATTATTTCTCTCCATACAACCACGTTCCAAATAACATAAAGCTTCCAAAACATTGAAATATTGATATAAACAGTCAATATTCCTATGACCAAAAGTATTCCCATGCTTTACAGGCCACAGCTTGAGAACAGAACATTCTACAGGACTCTTTCTCTTGGTATTGAAGAGACGAATCGATTGATATCCTGCATGTCTGTGTAGCTCCTACGGGTCACCGGCAGAGGCCGATTAAGACTGCCTCCGCCAAAGCAAACTCTTCTTCTCTACTTCAATTTGATGACAGAGACGAAACTTATTGGCTAAGCTGGCCTCACCAAGATGGTGGCCCGCCAGACGGTCATCCTTATGGTGGCACTAGAGGAAAAGTAAAGTAATCACCAAAATATAGAGTTCATCTTCTGTAGACATTAAGATTTCATGGCAAAGATCCAATACTTGCTGAGAAATTTCAATCTGGACCAAAGTAATGGGCTGATATTGCAATCCCTAGAGCCACACTGCTGGCGTGGCTAAAACACAAACCTGCTAGTTGAATTTGAAGGGTTACCATAATGCCAAGAAACTTTGCACAAGAATTTTGATTACCATTTGTAAAAAAGAATTTCAGATATCAGGACAAGCTTAATTATTAGGAGGCTGCTACAAGATGTGAATACTGCCATACTCTTGATACTCCCTTACCATTTGAAGAGTGCACAGATGGTCCTTCTTATCAGCTGAGGTGTCCACAGAGGGAGCTTATTTGTGTCTATATGTGGGTGTTAGATAAACTAATGTATATGTCAGCCGCCAGGCTGTAATTGGCTTATGTGTGCACCTTAGCCTTTACTGAATGTGAAATTTCCTCTTCCACTGGACCCGGCTGCTGCGATGTCCCACTGACAAATTCCTGGTGGTCTCCTGTTAGCAATCCAACTAAATAATCGGCTATCAAATCTCAGATGGTAAGACCTACATCTACGCTATGGCAGCACACCTGTGAGAGGAATCTCTTCATCTGTCAAGTCACTGTTAGTCATCACTGGATCAAGAGAGCCGTGTCTTTGATTATAAAAAATCAATATGTACACTGCGGAGGCTTTTCTCTGTGGGCTCACAGGGTATTGAAAAAAAGCATATCTGACAAAAACATCTACAGCAGCAAAATATATCTCCACCTGGACCTCTTTTGTTGCAAAATCATATGACACAGTCAGAAAGAATTCTCAGAGAGTCAAAAGCAGCCCTCTGCCTTAGCCAATTTCAAGTAAACATGACTCTGAAGTCAAGGTTTTTTTTTAAAAGTGTCTCTAGTTATTCTCTCTTTCTTTGTATCATCAAAACATGACATGTTAGCATTGCTGGGGAAAAGTAAAAAGATGTATGACAACAGCAAACACACCTCAAGCAAATGCAACTGTCTCAATAAATGGCCAGCCTTGGCACTGAGCTCTGCTGACGTATAAAAGCTGTGAAGGAGACTGGCAGTGAAGCACAGAGAGGTTGCCGAGAAAGAGAAATCTATGTCTGTGTGTAAGACATTATGTGGGGAAAAAAGTTGACAGCAGGTGAGGGTCAGTGGTGGTTAAAAGAGAAGGAGGAGTGTAAGATAAAGGGAGGGGGCCTGTGGGATTGGATATGATATGCTCCTGGGAAACAGGGCAGAGAGGCAATTGAAGAGTATCCAGAGTTCCTATGACTCACTGGCACTTTTACAATACTGAACTTTGACACAAATCTACACACTGTAGCATAGCTCACATACAAATAACTGGTCTGCAGTAACACAAACTCACAAACACACACACACAGTACTGCTCATGTATATTGTATACACTGGTAAGTAAATCTCAACACATACATTCTGTCTTGAGGGAACACACACACACACACACACACACACACACACACAAACAAAAGAAATTGTTTTTTTCATGGAAAAAAGTAAAGAAGAGAGAAAACTGGAACAGGGAAAATGAAAATAAGTGGGAGGGAATGAGAGAATGCAAAGAGAGAAATGAGGTGTGTGAGTGAGAGCGAGAGAGAGAGAAAGGGAGAGTGAGATGAGGTGAGGAGGCGGAGAGATGAGAGGCGAGGGAGGGAGTAAAGTAGACAGGGAGGGTGGAGAAGAGAGGAATAAGCCACACTTGGATTAAGGATTCCAGTGGAGCGAGGAGGGAATTTCAAGTGTTGGATCAGGGAAACTAAACTACAGGTCTGGTCCTTCATACTGACACGCAGACTGGACAGAAGAGCAACTGAAGAGATGGACAGATGGAACTCAAAGGGAGACCATGCCCTTGGCTGACACAGACTGACATGACCTCTCCATCTCGCTGTTTAACCTAATCTGAACATCCCGAAGCCGCTATGGATACATACAAATGTTTAAGCTTACTGTTCTTCACTTTTCCTCCACAAGGTAAATCATTTCCCATTCTGTCAGTTGCTTCATCTCTTATTTTCTTTATGAACAGAAGGGACTGTTTGAAAATTATTAGGTATTTCTGGTTGGGGTGTGTGTGTGTGTGTGTGTGTGTGTGTTGGGGGGGCTCTTTACTTGAAAATAGAGTGCTGTATTTTGTTTTATTGTTTGCTATGAATCTATATTTTTTAGAATATTGAAGGAAGGATATTGCAGAGTTCTAACTGAGGGAAGTGAGTCCAAAGACATTATGAAAAAAAGGCAGCATATGATCTTGCTTTTTTATAAAATAAAATTCAGCCCCCTCCCCAACCCAGTAGTTGTTGTAGTCCCTGAGGCAGTCCCATTATTCATTAGAAGAGCAAGGACATTTATTTCTGACAAGATGAGTAACACATCACTGACAAAACAACAGACACAAAAATGTTGTTTCCTTTAGTTTACATTAGATAAGAAGGTAGAAACTGCCTCCATTGCTCAGTGACCTGGTAACATTCATTGTCTGGCTGATTCAGGAGCAAGACTCACTTGTATAAAAAATTATATTTGGTGCACATGCATTATTGGGCTATGAGAGTGCATCGATCAAAAGAGGACAGAACTGGGTACAGTAGCTTTGACACATTTGACACATAACGAATAGCACATGTACATAAGTACTCACAGCCTTTGCTCAACACTTTGTTGAAGCACCTTTGGTACCAATTATAGCCTCAAGTTTTTGTGCATATGATGCTACAAGCTTGGCACACCTATTTTTGGGTTTCTCCCATTCTTCTTTGCAGGAACTCTCAAGCTCCATCAGGTTAGATGGGGAGCATCAGTACACAGCCATTTTTAGATACTGCATTCATCTTTCCCTCGATCCTGACTAGTCCCCCAGTTCCTGCCACTGAAAAACATCCCCACAGCATGATGCTACCACCACCATGCTTCACTGTAGGGAGGGTAATGGCCAGGTGATGAGCGGTGCCTGGTTTCCTCCAGACACGACGCTTGCCATTCAGGCCAAAGAGTTCAATCTTTTTTTCTTCAGACCAGAGAATTTGTTTCTCGTGGTTTGAGAGTCCTTCAGGTGCCTTTTGGCAAACTCCAGGTGGGCTGTCATGTGCCTTTTACTGAGGAGTGGCTTCCGTCCGGCCACTCTACCATACAGGCCTGATTGGTGGAGTGCTGCAGAGATGTTGTTCTTCTGGAAGGTCCTGCTCTCTCCACAGAGACGCGCTGGAGCTCTGTCAGAGGGACCATCGGGTTCTTGGTCACCTCCCTGACTAAGGCCCTTCTCCCCCGGCAGTTTCAATGCTGCAGAAATTTTTCTGTTCACTTCCCCAGATCTGTGCCTCGATACAATGCAGTCTCGGAGGTCTACAGACAATTCTTTGGACTTCATGGCTCGGTTTGTGCTCTGACATGCACTGTCAACTGTGGGACCTTATATAGACAGGTGTGTGCCTTTCCAAATCATGTCCAATTAATTGAATTTACCACAGGTGGTAAATCAAGTTGCAGAAACATGTCAAGGATGATCATTGGACTCAGGATGCACCTGAGCTGTCATGGCAAAAGCTGTGAATACTTACGTACTTGTGCTTTTATTGTTTTTTATTTTTAATAAACTTGCAAAGTTCTTTCACATTGTCTTTATGGGGTATTTTTGAGGAAAATAATGAATTTCATCCATTTTGGAATAAGGCTGTAATAAAATGTGGAAAAAGTGAAGCACAGTGAATACTTTCTGAATGCATTGTAATGCGTCCTGTAAAGCACACTGTACAAAAGCAAACTCATCAACAGTTACGTACTTTTTCATGCACACATTACTGCTCTGACCCACACATTGTCAAAGTCAGGACACCCTGCGATCCCCCCCTTCTAAATCCATTAGTTGCAAGGCTGCTTTACAATCTAGTGGAGCATCCCTCTTTATTTAATAGTAGCTGTATTCAACAGATGTCATATCATTCTGAGCTGATGTGATTAAACAAAGGTACTTGTTTGGGTATCTCTCAACTGAAAATGTAGAGACATTTCAAGGTTGTTGGACACATCAAACAGATTCAGGTGCAAACGGGAAGAGAAGACATGGAGGAAAAAAGAAATGGGGGAAGAAAGAAACTATCCATTTAATACGATATTGATCCCAAGCCTTTAAAAATTGAGGATGCCAGTTTTCAGGCAACTGAAGGACAGCCCATCAGCTTTGATCGAGTGGGTAGGAGGACCCCAGAGGAAGGCCAGCAGCATGACAACAACACCTGTGTCCCTGTTTTAAAAATTACAAGTTAGAACAGCAGAGCATCTTTGTCTAAGACAGATAGATTGATAGATAGCCTTCCTGTGCAATCACATGTAATAATGAGAAAAGCTGGGGAACTATTTTTCACAATAAGCAATAACCAATATATATGATGCTCTACACACAATAAAACATTGAAATATGCAGTAGTGTCAGGTATAATGAAATATCACTGAGACTGGTGAAACTAAATCACAGCCTATGATGTATTGCTGTGCCACTGAATTACCTCCACAGATGCACAATGTCCAGAATGGAAAAATGGTAATTGAATATGAAAATAGGATCGGAATACAAAGGACATTGTACTGTACCAGCCTCGGGACGATCCCTGTCTCTTTAATTGCTCTCAGACCTCGTTAGGTCATTCTTAGTGCAATGTGAGCTCATTGTAAAGGGGGGTGGCGTGATTGGATTGAGTTGCTTCATTTCCATGGCCTTGGCAGAGAGGACGAAAGGGGGTGAAGGAGGGACGAGACGTCTCGACAGATCCGTCCATCAGAACATCTGTTCGGAAACACAACGGATGTCCTCAGGTTCAGGTTCATCCTTCCTCTCTTTCCTTCTCTCATCTCACCTCCCGCCGCTCTCATCTCCCAGATCCCGTCTCATGTAACCATACGCCACCAGTGTAATAGAGGTCACCCTCCTTTTAACCGTCTCCACAACGGTTCCTAACAGGGGCATGGTTGCATCAATCCATTACAGATAAATGTATGCAATTGTAGAGGGTAGAAAATATATTCAAAATTAATATTATGCAAACAAAAATTAAACTGGTATATCGAGTTTATAGAGGGTTGCTATGAAAATGAAGCAAGCCAGGTGTCTGTTCTCCTTTCTCAGGTCTGTAATGACACGAAATAAAGACAATCTCGATCTTGGGTTACCTGTATAATGAATAACAGTGCATTGTTGTTGAGGCAGCTGCGTCAGTCAGTCGACCAAGCAGGCAGAGAGGAGAGACAGAGTCTGATTACTGTTTTGGAGAGTCAGCGACTGTCACCTTTGGCTTACTTTAGTTCAGTAATTGACCCTATCATGACCTGGGGAAACCTGTGTCATAGTACCCCTAAAAGTCCTTCTCAAGGGTCACTGGCAATGTCTGCACAAAATGAGCATGAAGGATTTTGTTTTGTTTTTAAACAACTGAAAATACATTAAATGACACATATGGGCTATAGAAGGCCATGTGATTAGTCTAAGCTTTCCTTATGTGTGAAACAGGGTTCTTTGCACGTCTTCCAGCAATATGCAGCTGAATCAAGTGATTCTCAGTTCGAGGGCAGTAAACTTCCATGAAAAAAAGGGACTGGAGCACGCTGATTGATTAGCAGCTTTTTAACCGTGTGCAACCGCACATTTCAACACTGATATGAGGCAAACAACATCAACCTAGATAAGGCATCCAATTGTTATTTGATAATTGGTTAAACAGGATTTCAAATCTATTGGATAATAAATCCAAGGGTGGGAGTTACCATTGTCAATGTCCAAGTGCCACACCCCATGCTTTCCTTTGGGTCTAATCTCTTCTCTCTCCTCAGTTTATTCCCATGTTGTACCGCGTGCCCACGCTGAAGAGAGGCTGCTTCAGGATCTGTTTGCACATTACAATAAGCTCTCCCGGCCTGTGGAAAACACTACAGACACAGTGCTAGTCCACTTTGGACTGTCTATTGCCCAGCTTATTGATGTGGTGAGTAAAAATTCCCAGCCTTGGTAAATTTCATCCGTAGCAAATTCAAATTAAGTTGCTTTTTACTACTACAACATACATATCTGTTCTGTAAATCACTTTTTCAGTGGTCTCATTTGTGGAAAAAAATCAGAAACCAAAAGAAATTTTATATGTTTTGGTTTCAAAATGTGCCCCCTATTTTTGCGTTACTCTGACGGAATAAGGTTAGCTCTCTGTCTACATAGAAACTTGTTAAAGCACTTTGTAACTTGTTTTTGAAAAGTGCTCTACAAATAAGGATTATTATTATTATTATTATTATTATTATAGATGTTATTTCTATACAGCCAATCAAATTGCTTCATTTTAAACCATGCATTCTATCATAGGCAGATGGTTACGCTGACTAAAAGCCAAACAGCAGCCTGCACTACAACACAACACTCCTGCTAAAGTCTCCATATCTAATTTAAACACATTCTCACTTTATTTTTGGAAGTGTAGAGCTCCGTGGTCAAATCAGCAACACTATATATGCAATGTCCAGTTAGACTTTCCAAATTAAACTAGAGGTAACGCTGTGCACATTAACGTTGTGAAATGTCACAAGTAGGTAAGGTTTAGGCACTAGTACTTGGTTAGATTTAGGCAAGAAAAGTACATAGGTTAAGGAAAAGATCATGGTTTGGGTTAAGATAACATTATGTGACTAAACTCACGTGGTTAAGTAACATTACTTGTGTAACTTACATAACCTACGTAACTTAATTAAAAACATTAACTGTTGACTTTTTCACACTGTTTCACACAGGAAAGTCTCCTGGGTGAAAGTCCAAAATCTGGCCCACCCGTTGGCCCCAGCCACCTCTTTACTTGGACTTCTGTCTTTTATAAATGACACGACAGGGCTTCTTTGTCATGTTATGATGGTGTTGGTGCAATGCAATTGTGGAAATGTTGCATTTTCACTCGTACTCCTTCTGTCTTATGTATTATCTTCATTATGATCATAATAGCAACTAACTCAAAGCCAGACTAGGCAAGAGATATACATTTAAATATACCGATCACTTCAATCAGCGGAAATGAAACCACAACAGGAGAGATTTAATTATTTTCCCAAATTAAATTCAGTTATCAAGTATACTTACTATACACAACAAAATAACATTGTTATTCTCTCATGTCCCTATGGTATCTTTTCACCACAGTCCATTTTACAAACATTATATTGCAGGGTTTCTGCTGACTAAGTTAAAAGCATTTTATAACACCTCTAACTGCCATTTGGAGCTATGCAAAGTTGCCTGGTGCAGCTTCAAGATTGAGTATGTGCAGCCTGCATCGATGCAGGGATGATACTCCTGCTTTTTGACTCACAGTTAGGTGACAGTGCTTGCTCTACATGCCTGGTAGTGACAGTCAGCTCAGGGTGAAGTTGTCTTCTCCTACAGAGTGTATACGCTGACTGCTGTGTCTTAGATGTTTTTGGGAAAGAGTTGGAGAAAGCAGCTTGCCAGCAGTGAGGCAACAACACAGTACAGTGAGGGTGTTCTTGCGTGAAGCACTGCCTAATACTTTTTTTGGTGTATTACACAACTAATCTGTCTTTATAAATATAGGGCATGTATGTGGATTTGTTCTGTAACCGAATCATGCACATGAGTGCATGTAGGAGCTTTGAAAAGAAATGTTTTGTAAATTAGATGTTCAAAGAAATGTGATGATTAAGTCTGTAATTTTCTCCTCTGCTTATATGAAATAAGGATGAGAAGAACCAGATGATGACCACAAATGTCTGGGTCAAGCAAGTATGTGATGATGAGAGACGAACACATGTTCAAGATACAGTCCTATACAGAGCTACAGATTACAAGTATATAATTATGATTAATGTTTTCCAATAGGAATGGAATGATTACAAACTCCGCTGGAACCCGGAGGAATACGAAAATGTCACCTCCATCCGTATTCCCTCAGAGATCATCTGGAGGCCTGACATTGTCCTATACAACAAGTGAGGATCTGTATCAATAGCTTGTATGTTTTTATGTGTGTGTGTGTTTTGGTGTCTTTGTTTCGCTTTGGTGGTCTTTATAAGTCAAAACACAAGCTTACATTCAGCAACAAGGATGAATCGAGAGGGCTATGGAAGGTAGATGTTCAGAACAGATAACAGGCAGAACAGAATGAAGGCAACATAGATGATGTGGGGTGGCTGTGGCTCAGGGGGTACAGCTGTCGTCTACTTATCAGAAGGTCGGTAATTTGATCCCAGGCTCCCTTAGTCTGCAAGTCAAAGTGTCCTTGGGCCAGATACTGAACCCCAAATGTGTGGATGGGTATGAATGTGTATTTTTGTTTCTGATGGCAGTTGGCACCACCCTACTCAGTTTTTGTTTAAAAAACGAATCCGATCTCCATCCACACCAGCGTTTTAGCTGTGTATTAGAATTGATCTCCGTCTATATTAAAACAACTAAAAACGCACATCTAGAGACCGTTTACGTACACTGGGCATGCGCATGCAGATGGTCTACTCCACAGTTGCAGAAGATTTGCTAAGCAATACAGATCAAGAATCACACCAGATATTGTTTTTTTGCATGGACCAATAACGAGCTGGGACTGTTACTGAATGTAACAGACGACATGCACAGTAGCTACAAGTATAAGTGTTATTTGCACGGTGCAAAATATTTTAATAAAAATACCAAATCAGCATCGTGTTTCTGCTTTGCATGACTTATAAGACCCAATCATTTCTAAAGTCCTCTGTTTTTGCCTGTCCGCTACCCGGAGTTTTAAAACAAAAAAACGGGGGCGCCAGTGTCTTAGGTCGAAACCAAACGAAACCGCAGTAGTGTGGATGGGGCCTTAGCCTCTGCCATTCAGTGTATAAATGTGTGAATGTGATGTAGTATAAAAGAGCTTGGAGTGGTTGGAAAGACTAGAAAGGTGCTATACAAGTACAGACCATTTACCATGATCCAGCACAGAGTGACAGATAGCTAACTGCTAATTGCAACAAGAGAGGAAATGACTGGGTCAGATGATGACCTGAGGCAGGAAGTAATGGGTGGTGCTCAGGTGTATAAAGACGGTTGATTGAAATTACTCAGATTTTAGATGCAGGAGATGAAGGACAGGAGAATGGGGCGGCTGTTGCAATGACAGAAATTACATCGCTGACTTAAAATTAAAATTTTATTAAAATGTATTTGTAGGACATTTTGGCACACAACAGTATACGTTTAAATTATTTATATTATTATTGGTTTTATTAAAAATATTTGACATTGTCCTTCTTAATATGTAAGCGCAAACATAGTATGTCCCTAATCTTAATAAAAAATATATTTAATGTCATTTTTAGAACATATGTCCTTACAATCAACACGCATTTGGATTTTTTTTTCAGAACTATGTAGCTCAGCCTTAAATTTAGATTATCCTTAAATTCCTGCTTCGAGTCATGTTGAGTGATTTACAGTTAAATATAATTTATTCGAAAAGACAAGTGACCACCAATGACCAATGACCACATTAGTCCCGACAAATGACTCCTGACTGTTAAACTTTGACTTGGCAAACTTCAGGATGTGTTAAAGTACACAACTTGTCATTGAAACAAAATTACCGCTTCAGAAATTACACAAAGTGCCATGCTTGCTAGAAAACAGTGTTTACCATGAAGATAAGAGCTTTTGTCAAGAGCTGGAGGCAGGACCAAATCTGAGGGAGGCGGTTGCCTTGTAATTCTCTATGTAGGGGTCCACTTACTAGCTTTTTCCACAGTTCAGAATCAAGTGGACTTTAAAAAGTATTGTTTGAAAAATTTAGCCAGCATTAAAATGCTTTGATGAAAGAAAAGGTTTAATGTGTATTCTGAAAAATATCTTTACTTTTCTCTTCTTACATCCTGTTTTTATGTGCAGCGCTGATGGTGACTTTGCGGTAACTCACCTCACAAAGGCACATCTGTTCCATGATGGTCGGATAAAGTGGATGCCACCAGCCATTTACAAGTCTTCATGCAGCATAGATGTCACCTTTTTCCCTTTTGACCAGCAAAGCTGCAAGATGAAGTTTGGCTCGTGGACCTATGACCGTGCCAAGATCGATCTGATCAGCATGGCCAGCGATGTGGACCAAATGGACTACTGGGAGAGTGGCGAGTGGGTCATTGTCAATGCAGTGGGCAAGTACAATACCAAAAAATATGAGTGCTGCACAGAGATATATTCAGACATCACTTACTACTTCATCATCCGAAGGCTTCCGTTGTTCTACACCATTAATCTTATCATCCCCTGTCTTCTTATCTCCTGTTTGACTGTGCTGGTGTTTTATTTGCCATCACAATGTGGAGAGAAGATCACCTTGTGTATCTCAGTGTTGCTGTCCCTAACAGTATTCCTCCTACTGATCACAGAGATTATACCGTCTACATCGCTGGTGATTCCACTGATTGGTGAATACCTGCTGTTCACTATGGTCTTTGTCACACTCTCCATCATAATAACTGTCTTCGTGTTAAACGTACATCACCGATCCCCACAAACCCATGGAATGCCTCACTGGGTGCGGAGAGTATTTTTGGACTTGGTGCCACGAGTCCTCTTCATGAAGCGTCCACCAGGCACAGCCAAGCAGCACTGCAAGAAGCTTATTGAGATGATGCACCGTCCCACCACCATATCTACAACAGGCAACTCCCAGGCTTTTTGGACGGGGTTGGCAACAGGGTTGAGACAGATGAGCCAGGTAGAGAATACCCTCCCAAAGACTCCATCGGACAGTCCAAGCATCCTTGTCAGCTCACCTTCTCCACCCTCTTCCCCGCTTGAGTACCACAACAAGGAAGAACACCCGCTAAAGGCCAACATTTTTTGCCGGTCCACATCTGGTCAGTACTCAGTTCTCTCAGACAAACAACCCTTACGTGGACACAACTCTGCAGCCTTGTCTTCATCCCAATTGTCCTTACCACCAACTTTGCCAATGGGTCCACTTCCCAGCATATCCAAGGAAGAACCAAATACATTGGCCTCAAATGACCGCTCCCTCAGTGTAGAGCAAATGTTTGACCAACAGAAGGAGCTTCTTCAGAGAGCTGGGCATCTGTGCCGTTCCCGCAGCTTCCAGTACTGCTGTCTGAATGATGAAGGGCCTGGGGTCATCGGGATCACAAGATGGATGAAGAAACAAGCCTCTACAGATCACCTTGCTGAAAATCTCACAACAAAGTCCACTAAAGACGCCAGTACCCAACAGGACACTGTGGTTCCAACTATTTCCCCAGCTATGTATCAGGCCATAGAGGGAGTTCAGTACATTGCTGATCATCTCAGGGCGGAAGATGCAGACTTTTCAGTGAGTTTACAGAAATTTTATAACCACTAAAGCCTTGGTAATGACATGGTAGTTTCTAAATGTTTATATAGTGCTCACATTTGAATAAAGTCTCACAGAGCGGTTTGTGAGATTCCATTCAATATTTTTGAATACTAGTATGTTCTTAGCACATGCAATATGACCGTTACCTTCTATTTGTAATCACCTTTTTAAAATGTAAAATTCTCAGTACATTAAGTGCAACAGGACGTGCCTTTTTGTCCAACAGGGGGTGTTCCTACATCCATCTGTTTGCCGAACTATTGTCAAAACTTGCTTACATAAAGCAGGTGATCATCAGACAAGTTACAATTTACTGAGATGTTACCTGATGTTATCTGACCAGATGTGTCATACTGCTGGTCTGTAGTATTCAGAGTGTAAGAAAGTAACATGACACTTCTTTATCATTTTAAAATATACCAGTGAAAATGTATTTTAATTAGGAAACGGCTAAGCAGCAAAAGCAAGTTTACAGCACTGATTAAGGGTTAATTGCTCCATCACTAGAAAAAAAATGAAGCATCTTTGTCCAGTGGAAGGAGAAAAAAATGTGTACAATTATTCTAAAATTCTAAGAAGTTATTATATTCATTCTCATGAGTCTTTGCCAATACTATAATGCACTTTCTATCTCCCAGAAAAGGCCCGTCTTTGAAACAATGGGACCTCAGTAATTTGACCTTGAATTTTTCATTGGAGAGACAAGCAAAGACTGACTGACATTTAGGAAATAATAATGAAAAAATCAACCATTTGAGAGAAATCAATCAAGGGTGAAAATTGAGAGCTGGTAAAAAGAAGGTGGTGTGGGGTAAAATTTGAAATGTTCCTATCTGCTGTGTCTTTTCTCTGCTAGGTGAAGGAGGAGTGGAAGTATGTGGCCATGGTCATTGACAGGATATTCCTCTGGATGTTTGTACTGGTGTGCATACTGGGATCTGTGGGACTCTTTCTTCCTCCTTGGCTGGCTGGAATGATCTAGAATCTTACCGCTGAAGGAAAGGGATTTCAAGAACACTGACAGGAACACATGCCGTCCAAGTTAATCATTTATCTTTTTATTTTCTATTTATTACAAGAACTACAAGTCACACTACTTGTCTTCCCCGAGGTTATCACAAGGTTACTCACGGAGAAACAAGATTAAATATATATCATTGATTCCGGTGGGAATATAAATTCTTTATGAGAGCAAGGCCAACAGCGAATATCCTTAACTACCACTCAATTTTGACATTGACCTGTACAGCATAAGCTGTCATCTTCATAAAAACAGAGAAGAATAGACTTTGACCCATCTATAACTGCAGAAAGCACCACAGAAAGATACTTTTAAGACTATGAAATGTTTGGTCTTAATCTCAATTTTAACATTCGTACTACAATGTCATTGTTATAGTATCTTGACAAAAGCACAGGTGCCATCACCGAAAATTTAAAAAATACTAATGTTTCACCTGATTTGTCAGAATTCAGTGGGTTGTATATGTGTGTGTGTGTGTGTGTGTGTGTCAGTGTGTGTGTGTGTGCTCAGGTGTAACACATTTTGCAATGCTTAGGCAAGTACACATACAGATACACATCTATTCAATATTTCTTTCAGCCATTCTCTTGGTTACTACCACAGCACTTTGGTATTAACAGGAGGGCATTTAAAGTCACATTTTCCAGTTATGTATGGTCCTTCATCCCCTCAACCTCAGCCACCTAAAAAGACAAGGGCACATTTATTCATTTTTTATTTTGCTTTATAAATGAGTAGAATAGGAATGGAATGATTGGCCTGATTTTTTATTTTTTTTTGTCATGCATGATTTTCTAGGCCATTTTAGGCATAATCTACTTAAATATCAATAAATAACAGCCACATGAATTTTTTTTATTTATTATCTTAAATAAAGAAAACCAACATCTACACTGCAATTTAACTGTATACCATATAATCTTATAGGATCATGGTAATAAATATCAGCAGGGACAACAGATGAAAATTAGCCTGTTGAGCCACCACTGGCTCATTCACAGTTATTTTACTGTTAATTAATGAGCACTGTCCATGTCAAATAAACAAATTAATGAAATATAAATATTGTAATTCCTAATATCCACTTCCCACCTAGTACAATCTCCACACACAGTAAAACCGAATGGGTTGTAGCGGCATATCTGTCACTATGTTAAAATGAAAACAATGGAGGCAGTGCCGGCAACCACTCGTCTAAAAGCACCTTCAGTCTAGTTGAATTTCCTTTATCTAAAATCAGATAACATTCAAATAATTGTTGGTATTGTATTGTAAGGTCATTCTAAACTCATTCTTCACTGACTGGGTTGTAGCCAAAAGTGTTTAAACCGTTTTTTAATTAAAGGAGTTGAAAAATGAATCATGTTTAAGTACTTGTTTTACTTTATTAATGTTTGAAAGTGGAACTTGTCGGGATATTGAGGCAGTTCTCAACCAAAGAAATGTTGGTTTGCAACAGTTATAATAAACATGAGTATATATATATGTTTTTATATGTTTGGGACTTTTTATGCAGTATCATAGTTTAGTATCATCACTATAACTAGAGCAGAGCAGTTCAAAGGGGAATCTCTATGCTTTTTGTTCAAAATGTACTTCTCACATGGTTTCATCTTAATCAGTGGTCGGCTTTAGGAATCATGAATAAATTCTTTGATAAGGGCTGGTAAAAAAAATATATCTAAGTCATGACAGCAACAGTTACTCACATAATCACTCCTCTTAAGTGATTGTGACTACAAAATAAAAACCTAAGAAAGTTTTTTACAGCAATGCTATATTTCGAGTTGAACTGAGAGCATTTCCTTTGAAAAGTTCTGAAATATCTGTGAGTCTGTGATGTGCTTGACACACCTCAGGAAACGGGATTCGTGAACAGACATTTAGTGTCCATAGGTTGTTGGATGTGGATCAATCGCCTGGACGCAGACACTCCAGCACATGCTTTACTGTGATCTTGTGAAACAGTTTTTTCATAGCTAATTTGTTGAAGAAGGAAAAAAGCATGCAAGGGGGGGACCAAACACACAACCCTCCGATTGAAAGGCCTGTGTACTACTGACTGAGCTAACAGGGAAACCACTAATTGTTTTTAAATTAGTAAACTTATTTGCCGACCCCAGACCTGCAGCATTAATAACACTGAAACAACACGATAATGGTGGAGATATTGCTAGATATTCAGCGCTTCCTTAGAACATAACATAAAACATAACATACCATAAAACTCTTACAACTCGGTTCAACACATTTGTTTCTTACATAAATCAAACCTGTGTGATGACAAAAACTCCCATTTCAACAATTCCCTACTACATAGAAGCACATAAGTCCCGTCCCCACGATCATACCCTGCTCCCGCTGTTGCAGAGCTGAGCAGCATAAGCCCCGCCCTTGCAAGCAACTCCGCTGTTCCCCCGTGACGCTCCCCGCTGTCGCTGCTGCAGAGCTCTGCTTAGCACTGTTCTCTACTGTATTTATTAATTCTGAAGGTTGTTGCATGTTTAAATTGTATCTACGCAACACTGCCCTCCCTTGGGTCCGCAGGAACAAACCCATCGACGACTGGATGAACAGTTCTTGACATAATCGAAACACAAACACACACACACAAATTTGAAATTGAACAATTTTGGCATGCTGGGGGTCTCACTTTAAGGGAAACAAAGAAGAGGCCTGCATGTAGCAAACCCTGAAGCCACAGTCTCTTGATCCACAAAAGTCAACTCAGCTGTTTTCCTCTGCTGCCGCCCAAAGAATCGGCTGTGATGCACAAGGTACAAGGTTGTTTATCAGTCATTATACAGCACAAGGCTATATAGGCCTATATTAAAATATGGTAACATACAAAATAAAATATGTACAGTTATTTGTATACATATATAAAGGTACGTACACCCCGAACATTACACTGCTTTTTTTGAATTTGCATCTGGGGTGAATGTAAACTGCAGCAAACAGATGATAATATGAAAGTTTCATCTTCCCAATAAACAGTCTGACATTTAGGAAACAGTCAAGTCCATCTTGACCGCATTTGTGCACCAAGCATCATCGTTGTAAAACACAGAGTCCACTTCCTCTTATCTTGCCGGAGTCTTGCGCTGACAGCCGAGTGCCTGATCCGGGATGTTGACGGGGCTGGTCTCTGTAACGATGTGACCCTGCACTGCACCCAGGTAATCGTCAGATCCAAGCCGAGAAAGACTCCTTCTGATTACCCCCCCAAAAAGGGACAGATTTGCAATGATCTGGAGGTAATTATAATAATAATAATAATAAATAATAATGACACTAATAATAATAATAACAATTTTCTTTATTTATTGATAAAAAAATGTGAATGAACACAAGGGCAAAGGCAATCATTTCCACTATCTGACAAAATAAGTTTAATAATAAGTTTAAAATAAGTTTTTCAGAAAACTTGCCTTAGGTTTTAGAATGGTTTTATAGAGGGTGCCATGGTCTTGATGGGTTTTAACACAGGTTCAACAAATCCCTATGAATTCAGCGCAACTTGCAATTTGGCCAAACACTGCAACTTTTCCGCATATTTGTCCTATCATTTCTGTTTCCTGCAAAACATTGTCATATGTCAACTAGTCACTTCCTGATTAACAGCAGACATGTGTGATACCAATGTCTCATGTTTGCTGACAACAAAAAAAGAAATAACTGTGAAAAACAGTATCCAGGTCTTCTCCACCAAAGCAGGGGTAGACTGTTTTGCAAAACTTACAGTATTGTGGTCGAACATAAAAAGAAATCGTCTTTCGTCGACAAACACTTTGCCACGGCAAAACAGACACAGAGAGCGTCAGAAAGGCGTGGAGGATATCAGACGAGACAAATCACTGTGACACAGGCTGTTGCATCCTAGTCGATCCCAGCGCTGAAAGAATCAAGGTAAGCTGGTTTAAATATGCATGGTTAGGGTTAGGCCCGCGAAATCCTGGAGGGACTTTAATGATTCAACTATAATTCAAAAGTTAAAAAAATCCAATCTACCTTTGCAGTTTTCTCTCATTCCCACAATTTCAAAGCAAAAAACCTGCCTCAAAACATTGCAACTTTCATTGCAATTTTTTAAAAATGCGGCGCAAAATCAGGCATTTTAGAGTGCAACAATCACTAAAAAATCCTGCAGGGACTAATAGGTTTATAACGGTCTTTTTTGTAACCTTAAGCTTCATTGTGGGTATGTCTGTCGGAAGTAATGGACTGCCATGTCCTGTCTATTGCTGTGTGTTTTTGTGCTTGGCACTTTACATTTTGTATCATTACCACGGGGCTGGACCATTACTTGTGTTATTCCGAAAACTGTGTGTGAAGCCAAGTTATTAAGTCCAGCAACACGGCTGCCGAATGCAAGTTCACCACTGGTTCCTGTGTGATAAAGAGGCAATCATTGTGTTTTACTTCCGTAATTAGGATTCTGTCTATTTGTACCTCAGTTAGTTGTAGAGTCAATAGCTACAGGTGAGTGTCAGTTGAAACACTTTTCAGATAAACGTCATTTTAAAAGATAACGTTACAAACAGAAACAATTTTTTGGTGTTCTGTTAATACCAGGTGCTATTTTGTACAAATGTGGAATGACTTCAGTAATTTGACTTAGAATGGAAGCTACGCAAATTGCTGCTTTGTTTTATCTGCATGGGATCCACACTGCTGGCAGCTTTCACGTGTTCTGGGGCACTGAACTGTGTTGTTCAATGAGTAAACTTATTTGGCAAATGCATATAGTTTTAGCTAGTGTGAGGCCAGTCGCTTTGAGCAAGTCCGTCTTGGATGAGCTCATTGTGTAATGCACAGAAGCTGCAGGTTTTGGCCTGGTTTTTTAATGTACTCACATATGTTTAAATTGTTTAACCAGATTTTTCTTATCTGGTATTGAAGTTATGCCTCACTATTATCACATTGGTCTCTGGGTTTCATATCTTTCTTTTTCAGGCATTCTGGATCCACCCTGGACTCCACCAGTGTCATGACCTCGTCCTGCACATGACATAACCGCAGGTGTATAAGGCCGCTCTCTCTTAATAGCCTTGGTTCCCATGAGAATATATAGGCTTTAGTTATGGCAGGTTTATCACTTTGAAATAACAATATATTCTGATACCATGATGTTTCATTGACTGGGGTTCATGATAAATGTTCTTTACATGTATTTACATGAACATAAGGAGTCAGCCAGGAGGACATGTTGAGATGATAACAACAACAATGTATATATTGAGATCTCTCAAGACTCATACCGAGTACAGCAACATTCTATAGTCAAAACTGTAAAAAACAGCTGTCTATACTAACCAAAGCAGCAGCCACCCCCTCTATGATAATGATGTCCTGGATGACACGTGCAAATCAATGAAACTTGTATTCCTGGAATGACCTTTCCTTCTTCTACAATGTAAAGACTTATAATCCTCTACCTATAACCTTCTCTTCATCCTAGTCTGTCTGACAGCATTATTCTCAGTGAAACTCCCCCCTGAATAAATAAAGGTGAAAAAATATTTCACCAAGTCCTCTCCATTTCTGGCATATCTTTAGAATACTATTCCGGCCTTCAACCCATCCTATCCTGTTTGTCTCAGTTCTCTCGATCCACCCTCCTCCTTTTCCCTCTCCCACATCCTTTTATCTCCCTACATCACCCCTCACTCTGCCCATCCCTATTCACATCCGTTCACCCTCTTCCCTCCGTTCAACCCCTCTTATTCAATCCTGTGCATCTCTTTCCAGTCTCTCTTTTTCCAGGTACTGTCTGGGGCCCATAATTGGCTTAGGTGACTCAACTCCTGAGACATATCCCCCACATTGAGTCTCCTCCTCAGCATGCTAAACCAACAGCTTCCTCCCCCACATTTATCCCCTTCCTCGCATCAGTACATCCACGCTCAACATTGAATAGTACATTTAATTAAAACTTAAAAATCACATTGTTGTGGCGTGGTCCTTGCTACACTAACAATACAGCAAAACAAGTGAGAAACACTTAACATTAGGCTTTAACGATGTTGGAAAATAACCAAACGTGCAACGTTTTTTCCTATATTGCGATTGCGGTAGTAGTATTTTTTAAGCTCATTGTTTTGTCTTAATTATTGAAAACAGACATGCAATAAATCAATGTATGGTACGACCAACACAATATTAAATAGATTAACGATACACTGTTGTTTCCTGTAGGCCAGGCCTATATGTTATGATGAATTATTAATATTGTGAGCAATGGTTGTGAAGAAGTATCTAATTTCAGAGATCAGAGATCAAAATTTCAGAGGAAGACAATTAGAATCAAGTCATTGCATTAAATAATATCATCAGGTAGGCCTACCTATAGACAACAAG